GGGGTTCCCCGGGGAGCCCTCACGCAGCCCCACCAGCTCATCCATGGGCTTCCTGGTGAGGCAGAAGGACAGATGAACCGCAGTCAGCCACTACAGAGCCTGTCCCACCTGCTGCCTGTCCCACTCCCTCCTTTCGTCCCTGTTATGTGCTGTGGTGACCGCGTGCAGTCGGGGGACGCAGGCCTGGGGGTGTCCTCAGCACTGAGAGGCTGGCACGCATGTGCCTGTGTGAGGTAGGAGTGTGTACCTCACAGTGCCACCTCTGTGTCCTGCGCTCCTCTCTCAGAGCCACCTGCCCCATTCTGTGGGTTCTGCTCTCACCCCAGGAATGTCACTGTCCCTGTGGTTCCCATGGGCAAGTCTGGTGCCCATGCCCCCACCAAGCCCATGCCCCCTCTGGCCACAGAGGCGTGACTCTGGAGTCAGAAGGAGACCCCTGGAGGGTCAAGTGCAGGGCCAGCTCCTGCCCCTGCCTTCCTCCCTCTCTATGTGCTCCAGGCCCATCCATGTTCACAAGCCTTCATCTCGACCATACCCAGACCCCTTACCTGCCAGCGCTTTCTGCTGTGAGCCCAGCTTGGCCAGAATCTGACCCAACTCTCTGCTTCCCAGTCAGGAGATCCTGGAAGGAGTGTATTACACCAATCAAAACCTGCCCCTCCCCCACCCTGCCCTAACTTTCCTTGGTCATTAAAAATGTCCTTGTAAGCCAAGCAGAACTGCCCAGAACAGACCAGCTTTGCAGGCCAGACTGCCAGGAGAGATGAGAGGGGAGCAGGGGCTTCCCCCACCTGCAAGACAGCACAGAGGGAGGTTCCTTTGCCTGGGAGGTTGGGGCACTCAACAGAAGAGGGAGGAGTCCACTGTGGGGCTATGCCCAAGGGCCACTGGTTAAAGGCCATGGACTCAGTCTCACACCCACAGCGGGCAGGAGATGGGCATATGGTGAAGGCACATGTGAGTTCTGGGGGCCAGCTGCCTGCAGACCTCTACATCTGCCCCTCCCTTCCCCCTCCCTTCCCTCTGTGAGCCAGGGACAGCATCAACACCTCTCAGGGATGCATGGAGGACCAGAGAGGGGCAGACAGTCATCAGGGTCACACAGCAGGGGCTGGAGCAGGTCTTTGCCTATGTGCCCCCGCCCACTGCCAGAAGCTCCCTGACCGCCAAGGCCTCACAGGGCAATGGTCTGGGCACAGCAGAGGGCTTGCGCCCGAGGTCATTTCTGCGATATGAGGGCAAGAGAAATAGTACATCACCCTCCCCCATGCCCTAGACGATGCCACCCTTGTAAGTCATGGTGGCCACGGACTGACATATTCTAACCTTGGACCCTAAGCAACACTCTGTCCCAGAAGTCAGACCACACCGACTCATTTTTAATATTATTTTTAATATTAAATCAGAATTTTAATAGTTGCCACACCAGACAGTACCCTCTCAGATCAAACAATAGAATTCCCTGAATACTTTCCTAAATATACCTAAAAAAAAGAAAATGCTGATCACCTAGAAAACTTTTAATAGTCTAATATTTAAATAATTTCCAATGTTATTTTTACTAAGTTGCTTTTTTTTTTTTTAAAGATTTATTTTTGTTATTTTTTCATTGGAAAGGCGGATATACAGAGAGGAGAGACAGAGAGAAAGATCTTCCGTCCGATGATTCACTCCCCAAGTGAGTGCAACAGGCCGATACTATGTGGATCCGAAGCCAGGAGCCTCTTCCGGGGTCTCCCACGCGGGTGCAGGTTCCCAAAGCTTTGGGCTGTCCTCGACTGCTTTCCCAGGCCACAGGCAGGGAGCTGGAAGGGAAGCGGGGCTGCCGGGATTAGAACTGGCGCCCATATGGGATCCCGGGCGTGCAAGGCGAGGACCTTTAACCACTTGCGCCACCGCGCCGGGCCCCCAAGTTGCTTTTAAATAGTTGAGATGTACACTCATGTGGTCCAAGATTAAGGTAGGGAGGGTGGAGGCACGGAGGTAGGCGGTTGGGACAAGTATTCCAATTTTTCCCCCCACAGCAGGGGAAAGGGAGGGAACTACTTCTTGCTGTCAAACTACATCAGCACCGGGGTGGAGTAAGGTCATGTGATGAGAAGGCCAATCCAATTGAACGCAGGAGCAGACAGCTGTTGAGATGCCACCTTGGGCAGAAGAACCCTGCCACCCACATGGAGGACACAGAATGTATTCCTATCCCTGGGTTTCATCCTGGCTCAGCCCTGGCGGTGTGGGCATTTGGGAAGTGAACCAGCAGACGGGTGATCCATTTGTGCTTTATTTCAAATGAAATGAAGAATGAAGAATTCAAATAGCAGCAGGTGGAGGGGACACGCATTTCACCTTTCCTACCCCAGGCAATAGTCTTGTGCACTGAGTCCCCAGCTCTGTTGACACTTCAAACTCCAGGCTCCGGGCACAGGCAGCTGTTGGCCACAGTCCTCAGGCTGCCCTATGTGACCACACCCTCACCTCCTGAGCCCCAGGAAGCTGAGAAGAGGGGAAGTGGGGCTCACAGTGCCCAGGGCGAGACCCCCCTACTAAGCTGTCACCGCCCCCTGCCTGCCACTCCTAGCTCCTCCTTCTTGGGTGGGGCGAGGGTAAGTTCAAGGCCAGCACAGCACCAACCCTATGCTACTCCTGCCCCCGGCCCCTGCCCAGAGCATCCAGCTCCTCTCTGTGCAAGGCGCCTGGGTGGGCCTCGTCCTGCTGTGTCCTGAGTCTGGGACAGAGCCCAGCACACACACAGCCAGGCCCGGGAAGTGGTTTGCACACGTGGGTCTCAGGGCTGCTCTGCAGAGCACACAGAGCAGGTCCCCAGTCACCTCCAGGACTCACATCAGGAACCCGGGGCTAAGGTTCCCCTGGAGGGTGGCACGGTCCCAGCAGGTTGGCTGCCAGGCCCTCCGTATGTGTGTGTGTGAACTGAAGGGAGACGCATGCCTGGAGACAGGGGGGCTGGCCCTGGTGACCTTTCCAAGTGTCTCCTGACCACTGAAGCTGGAGGAGCCAGTATTTGTGTGGGCGACGCCTCGGCCCGGGAGGCGGGGCTGAGGGGTGGGTAAGAGTTGAGGCATCCAGGAGCAGTGACTCAGGCGCTCAGCACCATGACACTGTGTCTGCATTTAGCTGCTGGCTCCTGTGTCCCTGGCGGGCAGTGGCCCTCTGGGCCCCCCATCTGCCCCTACCCTCTCTCCATCTCGCTTTGGTACTAATGATTTCTCAGCAGCTCTTGTCTCCCTGCCCCATGCCCTCCCTACTCCCACTTCCCTTAAGACAGAGCCCCACAGAGAGGAGTCTCCAGACTGGGTTTGTGGAAGCCACAGAAAAAAACAGTTCCAGCTGTGGGAGCCCCCAGTCTATCGGGCAAACAGGTGGACTTCTGCCAGAGGGTGGGGGCAGAATGACAGTTGGGTAGGGGGAAAGGGCAGCGCAGAATACAGGGCACCTCCACACAGTGCCACGTCTGGTGGTTACCATGACCAGCTGTGCTGTGGGCATCTGGATGGCTCCTGTGCAGGGTGGAGCAATCCAAGAAGCCTCCTTGGTGGAGGTTGGGGGGGAACCTAAGCTGGTCCGGGAAAGAAAGGGGGGATCCTCAGAGAAGGGGCCACACACACTGCCACCTGATCAGGGTCGAGGGCCTTGCCCTCCTCCCTGGAGATCCTTCCTCTGGCTTTTGTCCCCCAAGACTGGCACGGTGTGAATCTGGTTTTATGGAGCAATGGATGGGCAGCTGAGGGCTTCCTGGGCTCACCCCAGCCAGTCGGTCACCAGACATAGAAGGTCAAGTGACGGGGGCAGCTGGACAGGGGGCCAGATCAGGCACCTTTGGGTTTGAATCTCAGCTCTGCCCCTGTCCATAAAGGTAAGCCCTTCCCTGCCTGGATGGCCCTATCTATAAAATGAGCTTAACAGCAGCGCCCCCACCCCACCTGTCTGGCCATGCTGGGCAGCTCCTGGCCAGAAGCTGTGTTCACAAAGCAGCCTGGAAGTTGGAGCTAGAAAAGTTTGCTTCCGGAATGCTCCTTCACCTGCAAAGGAAATCACACAGCAGGGTGAGATTCAGGGCAACCCCATGGAATCGAGATCAAGTGTTTGGGAAGGTGACCTACCAGCACCTCCCAGACAATTCCCAGACAAGCCAGTGATCTGCCCCGGGCCCTGCCTCAGGCTGCAGCTCTCTTCTCTTGGGTCCCTAAGAGAGAGAGAGAGAGACAGAGAGAGAGAGAGTGTGTGTGTGAAAGTGAGAGAGAGAGTGTGCTTGTGAGACCTGGAGGTGGGGGGTCGGGTGGAAACAGGGATCCATGAGAGCTGGCTGGCGAGAGGCAGCTGCCCACCTACCTCCTGCCCCCAACCCAGGTGGCTGTGAGGCTATACTAAGAAATGGGCTGGAGACATCCCATGCCATGGGCTTCACTGCACAGAGTGGTCCGGTTATGGGGTGGAGGGGTGGTCTTCTACCACCCTGGAGTTTGCCAGCTGGTTGGGGGTGGGGGCTCAGCCCTTGCAGAACCAGGGTCTGAATCCCCTGAGAGGCTCCAGGCTGAAGGAGGGACCACCAGATAACCCCCTCCCACACACACACCTTCCTGCAAGGGCTTAGGGCAAGCAAGGCACGGGGTAGGGGCAGTCTGGGTGGCCAGGGGTCAGCACTCCGACCCCTGCCCCACCCCCAGCCCTGCAGTGTTGGGCGCCCTGGGGCTGGAGCAATGGGTCTGGAATGTTAGGCTGTGAGCTCAGCTCTCCGGCCTGTGGCCTGCGTGTGCTCGGCTGTCAGCAAGGCTGGCTCACGGGAGAAGATTTCCAGTCCCCTACGGCCACGGAGAGGCCTAAATTTAGCTGGGAGACAAGGGGCTGGCAGTGAGCCCAGGGCCAGTAGAGCCTTATAAAGCGCGGACAACCAGGGCCCCCGGCAGGCTTTGCCAGAGGCCTGCACCCACTCGGTACTCCTGTGCAGCCCCTGCCCGCCAGGACAGGGCCCACATCGCCCGTGGATGAGCCACAGAACCTCCTCCTCCTTCAGAGCGGAGAGAAGTTTTCACTCCTCTTCCTCCTCCTCCTCTTCCTCCTCTTCCTCCGCGGCCTCCCGTGCCCTCCCAGCCCAGGACCCACCCATGGAGAAGGCACTGAGCATGTTTTCTGAGGACTTTGGCAGCTTCATGAGGCCCCACTCGGAGGCCCTGGCCTTTCCAGGCAAGTGCTCAGGCTTTGAAGGGGTGGGAAACACATGGGGAGGGGGCACTGGCTCCAGGACACTGCCAGATGTGCACTGTGGTTGCCCACCTTCTGGGGACAGGGACTGCACCGTCTGAGTCACGTGTGGTTACAGAGGTAGATGTGGTCATGGAAACAGGTGGGCTCCCGATGAATGGTTATGGCTCTAGGGCTGAGCCACTCGCTCTCGGGGTCACACAAGGCCTGTGACTGGCCAGATCCCAGATGGAACATTGGAGGTGTGGGTTGGGGGTGGGAGATACGCCCCACCTCCAGGCTAAGAGGGATGGCTGGGCACTGCCCCACACCCACCACAGCAAAGGTGGGCTGCACTGGAGAGGAGGGGGATGTGAGCAACAAATGAGGAGGAGGCCAGCAAGTCCTGGAGGCCCGCCTTGCCCCATGCCCGGCTCATGGGAGGGCCTTTCCTGCAGCCCGTTCAGCGGGTCCAGGGAACATCAAGACCCTCGGAGATGCCTATGAGTTTGCAGTGGATGTGAGGGACTTCTCACCGGAAGACATCATCGTCACTACCTCCAACAACCACATTGAGGTGCGAGCTGAGAAGGTAAGCCTGGCCCCTCCCACCCCTACCCCCGGAGTCACTCCTGTGCCCCCAGCCCTCCGTGTCTCCCTCCCCTATCTTGCATCCTGGAATGCCTGCTCCACTCCCTGAGGTTAGAGACCTGTTCCCGTAGGCCAAGGACAGTAACCTCCTAGTGCCTCCCTCTGCCTCCCAGGGAGCCAGAGCCAGGAGTCCTGGGCAATAGTGGGAACCTGGAGAATAGGGAGAGGTGGGGGCATAGAAGCAGAGGGGCCACAGCAGGAGGATGGGAGGTGGTGGTGTGGAGTGAGGTGGGTAGATGGGGACTCAACTGCCAACAGTGGGAGGAGTTTCCCACACGCCCCACCTCCAGGCCTCAGCCAGCCCCGTCCTGGACCCTGACTTAGGGGCCAGGCAGAAGCCTGCAGTTGGGGACACACACACATACATACACTTATTGGCCTGTGCTACTGGGTGGGAGGCACTGGGCATCCATTTGGGAGGAAGATGCTGCCAGGGCTGTTGTCCCAGGTGGCTGTAGCCACCGCTACCTCTGGCATTCCCCAGGGCATCCTACCCAAGGACCCTGCCCCCATTCCCTCAGGACCTAGCTTTTATCCCCAGAGCATGCAAGGCTAGCATGCTGGGCACCTCTGCCAGGGATGTCAAGGACTGTGGGCCCTCAGGTCCAAGGGTAGCACGTGTCAGTTCTGCCACCGTGACAGTGACTCAGCCATCCTGTCCCCTCTGGACACTGTGTGCTGGCTGGACCTGCACAGCAGGAGCCACCGGCCTGGCCAAGAGTAGACAACAATGGGCCTGGGCAGCCAAGAAGGCACAGCTGTCCCCTGCGCCATCATCTCCCGCATAGCTGAGGAGGCCAGGCTCAGAGCCCCCGCCTACCTTCAGACACAGCCTAAGTCCCTTGGCCATTTCTGGGAATCCCTGGAGCCCCCTTTGCTCACCTCCTGTGCACCTGATGGCTGGAGGTGCCCAGATGGGGACAGAATGGAGAGGGAGGGGCTGTGGCTCGATAAGGAGCTGGGGCATCCTCCCTGACCTGTGTGTGGCCCCTTCCCCAGCTGGCGGCAGATGGCACCGTCATGAACACCTTTGCTCACAAGTGCCAGCTGCCAGATGACGTGGACCCCACATCGGTGACCTCTGCCCTGCGGGAAGATGGCAGCCTCACCATCCGGGCCCGACGTCACCCACACACGCAGCATGTCCAGCAGACCTTCCGGACAGAGATTAAGATCTGACAGTGTCCTTCCCTCCCCACTGCTCCTTCCCCACTGACCTGCCACCGTCTGAGTCACCAGCGGCACCAGTGGCAGGGGTGGGTGGGGACAGCAGCCTGACCCCTTCACTGAGCTCCCAGGACAGCTCAGCCCAGGGTCTGGCCCCTGATACCCCCAGACCCCAGGTGGGTCATCCCCCCAGACTAGGGTCCTCCACTTTGCCTCGCTTAGGGCACCCAGGTTCCAAGTGTGGCCATCCTCCCTCATCCAGGTTAGAGGGCTTGCAGTGGGGAAAAGGAATTCCAAAGATGCTACTTTGGGGAATGCGTTAGGGGCCTAGAATCTGCAGGACAGACAAATCTTATTATCTGAGGGGGTGGTCTTTGCAGGGCAGGGGCGGGGGATTGGGGATTGGGGACTGGGACACTCCGACCAAGGGGAGCAGAAGAGGCAGAGGGTCATGGACAGAGACAGATCTAAGTGGGATGCCTCAGAGAGACTAGGAGGAGAAACCACTCATGATTTAAAACTTCCTCGGCCGCCAAGTCCCCGACCTACCAGCAGGCTATGTGCCATCCTGTGCCCCAGGCCAGTCAGCCAGCTGTGCCAAGGTAGGGCCATGCCACACCTCTGCCTAGCCAGGCTTTCCCTGGCATAACAGATTCTTGACAGGATGTGCAAGACTGCTGATGTGGGCTGCCTGATGTGCCTCCAGACCAGGCCAGGGCAAAGCTGGGTACTTGCAGCCATAGCCTAGCATTCCTGTGGCGGTTCCCCCTACAGATGTATCATCAAAGGTAGCCTCAAGCCCAGGACAGGACTTTGGGGTCTCATGATGGGAACCCCTTTTATGTAGTCTTCTCTGGGCCACCACCCTTCTCCTTTCCTGACCCATGTCTGTAGGTTTGGTATACGCATCACACATACCTACTGTTGCCCTTCAGATGTTAGCTTGCTGTCGGTCAAGGCCAGGGCATCCTACAAGCATATTTACCATCCACTGTTGTCAGTGGGGACCCTAGGTCTTGTCACTTAAGGCTGGACCTGAACCCAGGACACTAGCTGTCCATACCCCTGCCTATATGCCCTGAGAGAATTCTCTCTCCTCACTCTGCCCCATGCAGTCCTGTTGGGGGGACATGGGGAACACAGGAAGTGTCCCAAATAATCTCCCTGACCACCCTCCCCCTCCAGGTCAATCTTAACCCTGTGGAGCCCTGGCTGAGCCCAGTGCTCAGCCTCCCACATACAGATGCAGGGTGAAGAGGATGTCTCCCAGGTGGCTAAGGTCCCAAGTAGCAGGGCCAGCCTCCGCCTTCTACACCATTCATTCTGGCCACTCTGGGGCCCTTGGGGGTGGGGGAGGACAGGGGTGTGCCGTAACCTGTACACACAATAAAGGATGGTCCCAGTCTCCTGGGATCACTGGCTGAAGACTCTACTTGGGACAGGGCTGGAGACAGCTGGGCTGGGAAACTCCAAGATAAAGAGCCGCACCCTTGCTGGGATTTGGGGTCTGGGAGGAGGAGGGGGGACTCTAGCTCCAGCTAAGCCCTCTCAGAAACTGTATGTGCCTATGGCTCCCCTGACCCACCTGGGCAGGAACGCCAGGATGGCAGTGGTAAGAAACTTTGCAGTCCCTCTCTCTCACCTGCCTTGCCATCCATTCACTCCTGAGACATGTATTGTCTGGCTACAGTGTGCCAGGCATGGTGCCAGGCACCAGCTGCAAGGGCAGCCAAGCTACACCAGGTCCCTTCCCTCTGGAAGTCTTTCTTGTATGGAACTAGAGTTCTGGGACTCACAGAGGCTGAGCACCCAAGGGGGCAGCCTCCTGGGGCCCCAGTGGCACCAGGGGAGGGGTGCTCACTGTTTGGGGGTAGGGGGAACACGCCCTGCACACCCTCAGCAGTACTGAAATCTGAGATGCAGACGCTCCAACCCCCCTACCAGTCTGGGTGGGGGTAACGGGGTGCGGTATTTCCAGGCTCCATGACTCACTGATTCCACAGGCTATTTGCAGCCCGACACTCATCGACTACCCCAGCAGGGGTGGGAGAGAGGCAGTGTCTCCCCTACGCCCTTCATCCCCAGTTAGGCTTCTGACCCCAATGCGTCCTGACCCCAATGCGGCGCCCCTGTCCTGGGCCGCTGGCATCCGGGCTGGAAAAGAAGAGGCGTTTTGTGTTTGTGGGGGGAGGAACAACCCGACCTTGGTCCCAACAATCTCCTTTGCCGGCCGCACTGGAGGAGGAAATGAGGGCTGTGCGGGGAGGGGAGGACCCCACAATTAGATAAAGAAAGCCAACTGCCAAGGTGACCCCGCGGCGGGGTGCGAAGGGGAAACATGGCCCCACCTGTCGTCGGCTCCGCCCCCGGGCGCCAGCGTGCTTTGTCTGGGGCGGGGAGGGTGTGCTCCCCACTCCTTTGAGGCTAAATTTAGGCCTGGCCACTGGCCCTGCGCCGTGCTCCCTATCCCCAGCCCACGAAGAGTGAGTCCTAAGGCTCCATTCATCATGCCTAGTGTGTGCCCAGAGGCGCGCTGCCCGCCCCACCTCAGTCCTGCTATGGAGGGCTGCTGTTCTCCGCAGAAGGGTGCCCAGATCCTGGAGGGCAAGTAGCTGGGCCAAGGCCAGCTGGCTCAGAAGTGGAAAGGCTGGGATTCGAACGTTTGTCCAAGTCAGCTTGCCATGGAGTTGAGACAGCACAGCTTCGCATCCCCTCCTCCCCAGCCTTTATATGGAGGGAGGGGTACTTGCAGCTTTGCAGCTTTTGGGGTGGACCTGGAAAGGAGCCAGAAGAAATTTATGTATTTATTTATTTATTTTTAATTTTTTTCCAGAGGAAATTTAAGTGACTGAGGATTTTTGAGGCTGAAGACTTTTGGGAGGGTCTGGTTGAGCAGGGGACCAGGGGGGCAGGATGCCCTGAGCGGCACAGAGGGTCTTTGAGGTTCTCTCATTGTACAGGCCACTCCTCCTCTACTTCCTCCAGAAGAGTGAAGACCCCGGACTCCATAGCCTCACACCAGAGCTGCTTCCCTGTACCAACCCCACTCTGCAAATCCCACATCCCGCGTGGCTTCCCAAATCCCAGCTCACAGGCTCCCCAGGTTGTCAGGAATACTTTCTCTGTATTTGGCTGGTACCTTCTCCTGCCCCTCCTGGTTCCAAAGCCAAGCCAGCCAGCCTGGTGCAGAGTGGAGGGGCAGAGTGTCTGAAGCCTGGCCGCCTCCGGTCAAAGCTGGGGCTGCGTCTGTGCTGTGTGGCTCTAAGCAGGGAACGTCCCTTCACTGTGCTTTGCACGGTCTCTGTACAATCGGGCAGGACATTTGCCAGTTCAGTGAGCTCTCTGATGGTAACTGTTAGGTTTTAAATGCACTTAAAGTTCTTACAGTTACGCACAGCTAATTCCCACTGCCAAGTCCTCTTTTCACAATTAGTTTGCCACAAGCCAAAACCCCAGACCCAGAAAGGTGCTCAGGAGGTCCTTTTATTCCAACGGGGTAGGAACGGGAGTGGGAGTGCAGGGGAAGCGAACTAGAAGGGGCACATCTCCTGCCATGGCAGCAGGATGGGGGGTGCCAGGGCAGGGGAAGGGACGAGACGGAGGGGGACGGACCGGAGACAGCCAGGAAAGTCTCTGTCCCAAGCCTGATCTGCCACTGGCTAAGCCAGTCACGTGGTCTGTGGGGGCCTCAGCACGATGCCTGGTGCCCGAGGGACACTGGCAGCCAGCTCTCGCCACTCTCCACTTCACTGCCCACAGGGCTTTGTGTCCACAACAGCCATTCCTTCACTGTCCCCTTCCAGCTGTGTTTTTCCTGTGGTTTTTCTCTACCTCCCAGACTGTTCCTGCCTCTATTCCCATTTCTTTTCTTTGTTAAAAGTGCTTAAAGACAAGGAGTGAAATCATGGCTTTCATACAAATAGGAAACAGGTCAGGGTTAAAGAGATTTTATTACTAGCATAGAGGGAAAATTCACACAAGGTAAAAATTAATCATTTTCTAGTGTATGCTTCAGTGGCGCTGAGAACACTCCCAAGGTCATACAGCCATAACCGTTCTCCAATTCCGGAACATTTTTTTTTTCTAACAGCTAAAGCAATCCTGTGTCTTGGTTCCTTAAAAAAAAAAAAATCATGTTTGTGTTTTCTACTTGAAAGGCAGAGTAACATAGAAACAGAGAGAGAGAGAGAAGGAAAGATCTATCTACTGGCTCACTCCCAAGTTCTTTCCAAATGTTGTAGTGACCCAAACTGGGCCAGAACAAAGCCCATAACTCCATCTGGATCTCCCACCTGGGTGGGCAGGGATCCAAGGACCTGGGCAGAGCTGCAGGAAGCAGAGCAGCCAGACTTGGGCTGGCACTCCAGTGCGTGATGTGCACAGTCAAAGCAACAGCCTCACCCTCTCCCTCCTTCACAGTGTGTTTTAACAAAACACAAAGAGATCAGGTCACATGTGGAGACTGGAAGCTGACCTGGCCTACCGTCCTGAAAACCTGGGAGTGCAATGAGGTGCAATAGGTCTCTGCTGGACACCAGAGGAGGGCCTGCCTGCTGCTGTGTCCCAGTGCAGTGTCTTTCTGCAAAACCACTAATGCCACCCAGAATCGGGGGAGGGGCACCCTCAGGACCACCTGCCAACTTCTTGCCGACATGTCCCAGGGGACTGCACATATGCCTGTTCCTGTCTAACCCTGTTGTGTAATGATATCCCCCCAACTTCTATATCACTCTCCCAGTCACCACTTTCCTGGGGCACTAAAAAGCACTCTTTTATCCTCATTTGTTCATTGATCAACCATGTACAGGGCACAGCAGGAGCCAGGGTGTGCAGCCACCCTGCCCAGGCTGTGAATTTGCTCAGTGACCTTTGCTCAGTGACCTTGGGCAAAGTATTTCTCTCCTGGTACCTGTTTCTGCAGCTCACCTCCCAGGACGGGAAACTAGCCGTGGTATCTATAAGGATGTCCGACCAAGGGTAGCAAGAACGAAGTGTCTGATTCTCCCCGACCCCTGCTAAAGCCTCATCAGGACCCCCGCGGTTACATTCTGAAATGGCAGGTCCATAAGTACCTGACTTGGTCACAGATTCCAACACTGGACCCGGGGCTGTCCAGTGTGGTGGCAGAGCGACACCTGCTGTTGCTGAGCAGGGTGTGCAGCCATGGGCCTCCCTTTTTCTGGAGGGTCATAATCCCTGGGCAGCATTCGGGCTTGGGGTAAGGAGAGGGGAGGACTCCATCTGTGCGTACATCGCCAACATACAATCATGGTGTCTGCAGTCACACCCACACTCCCCTTTGCCTAGATGAAGGTCAGCCTCCTGTGCTTGTTAAAGCCCACGCACAGGAGCCAGAGGGTTTTTTTCTCCCCCCACAGTAGGCCTGTGGGGGTGGCATTTTGCTGGCAGAGTAAGCAAGCGATCGATGCATCTGGGTCACTAGATTTTGTGAAGACCTATGAAATCGCCATTGAGTCCCTTCCCTGCACAGGTGGAGTTAGGGCTGTTCATCTAAGACGTGTGTACAGCCTCACAGCCATGCCAGTGACCCAACTTCTGCTCAGGAATGCAGGAACCAGACCAACCCCTCCTTCCCTGATTTTCTGTACCCACTGGGGACAGTGTAGGCCTGGCATGCAATAGGTAAACAATTATTACTCTTATTTCCATTATGTGGAATTAATACTCCCTTTTTTTTCTGAACATTATCCTCCCTGAGAGAAGAGCTCCCCCTATTTCCTACTTTGGGACACCAGGGCCCTCCTGAGTTCTCCTGTGAGATGCCAGCATCTCTGGACATCATACCACTGCCAGGCTGGCGAATCACCCTCTTTGATGTCCTATGCCCTGCTGGTGATGTCCACACTTGCATGAGGAACCAAGGTGACAGCAAACAGCATATCACCCGTTTAGCACCCTGGGGAATCCTGACCACCTGCTCTTGCAAGCTCTGGAAATGAGGGGCCAGAGGAGGGTGGATTTTTAAGGGACTGGCTCCTTTTCATTTTTTTAAATTAAATTTTTATTCAAAAAAGTTAGAGATTTCCCATTCCCTTTGCTGGTTCAATCCCCAAATGCCCACAACAGCTGGGGCTAGGCTGAAGCCAGGAACCCTGCACTCTACCCAAGCCTCCCACACGGGCTTTGAGTGAGCCCTAGTCTGTGCCCCAAGTACTTGTGTTCTCTCCCACTATCTCCGAGGATGCACATCAGCAGAAAGCTTGAATCTAGAACCAAGCGAGGAAACCAAATCCAGGCACTCTGTTATGTGGGTGTTCCAAAGGGCATCTTGATGGCTACGCAAACACCTGCCCCTCATAGGTTATTCCCTGAGCTTTATTCCCTGCTCAGAGACACTCTTCACAGATTCCAGTCACAAAGTTCTTCCCCCAGGCATGTTCCATCGCAGCATCTGACTTGTGTCAGATCCAACAGCATCCATCACTGTTCAACATCATCTTAATGGGTGTTTCCTGTTGTCCTTCCCCCCTTCTTCTACTGCCAAGAAAGCTGTATAGCATATGCTCCCCAGGCAGGGCCTGGCGTGGGGGAAGATGCTGGTCATATTTGCTGCAGGAATGGATTAATCCCTGCCAAGCTGGAGGTGCTGGTATGAGAGTGGAAGTAGGACCACTCCCTAAAGGTTGTTTCTAGGGTCCTTTTCTGGCTCGGACACAAGACTGGCTTGACTGGGGAAGTGTAGGTGGGTCCTGGTGATGACAGCCCACTTTCCACGGCCTGGCCCTTCCCACTAATCTGCCTGCCCGCAGACACAGGAAGAGAGGGCTTTGAGCGAGCCCTTGACTGTGCCCCAAGTTGAAGACCTGGCAGGCCCACCCTTAGAGGGGCTCCCCTTCACTCTTGAAACCTCCTGGGGACAGAGTGAGCCAACTGCAGAGGAATCTGGGGTCTTAACCCCTTTGCACGACAAATGAGGGTAGCCGGCCTGGGCCCGGAATCCACTCTCCAGGAGCATCTTCTGAGCTGTGCTCACCCCACAGAACACCATGTAGGTCTTCATTGGTAGTATAGCAGGGCTTTGTGGGGGCCTCCAGCCTCCATGCGCCATGGGAGAGGCTGGCAACAAGAGCCGTTCCCCTCGAGTGCAGTCAACGAGGAAGGTCACATGAGCTTTAGGGATGGCCTTCTGAGAGCGAATCAGCTTCTCTCCTGGAAGGAAGAAAAAGACCAAGATTTGCATTGGTAAAGGCAAGAGACAAGTTTCCCTCCCTCTGACTGTTCATTCACTTTATAGGGGTTAGAGAGTATGGGTTGATACAAAGACAGGAAGACACTTGGGTTTGTTTGTTTGTTTGAACTTTTCCTTTGAAGGTAAGTGAGGGTAATGAGACCTGGAAGGTTGGAGGAGAGGGACCAGATGATCTTTATGGATAAGACTGACATACCAAACTCCTTTAAATCCTCTGTAATACTTGTTATCACTGAACAATGCTGACCACCGAACACCAGTCCATGCAAAACCTAAGACTTGGGACTTGTCTAGCAGGATATCCTATTACCTGACATGATGATGGATCAGCAGACGGGTCACATTTGGCAAGGCCATGACATTAACTAGCACACGAGAGAACCATATCTGGGGGTAGATTATGTGGGGGATGTGTGGGCCAAACCCTGTGGAAATTCTAGCCCCACTGGTTGTTTCAAGAGTTGGGGTGGTGATGGACCAAGCTAGGTATGATTAAGGATCCTGCCATCAATCACAGGTTAAGGAACTTAAAACAGTCTGGGCTGGTCAAGGCAGTAGCACCTGAATATGCATCCTGAGTAGGGTGTGGGGTGGGCTGGGCTGCAACATTTGCCAGCTCATACAAGTCCAAATGGAAGGCCAGACTTCGCTGGGCACTGGCCTAAAACCCAATAGCATGTATGAGAACTGGATCTGGAAGTGGATCAAGTGGAAGAACTTGGGAAACTCCCCTGGCGAGTCATAGCTCCTGCTGGTGAACACGTGGTCCAGACCTGGGGGTTGGACAAGCTGGGCAAAGTAGCTCCAATGGCTGGCTAATATGTGAATTGGTAATGGAAAGGAGTGGCCCAGGCAGAACTGAGCAAACCTTAGCCTACAAGCAAAATTAGAAACCAGGATGGTGCACAGCTCATGCCGAGCTAGGCTCTTGCACCTACTAGTCTACATGAGCCAGGGACGCTAAGCCACAGTGTCTAAGACAGGGGTCAGGACAGGTGAATGGCTGTGCCAATCTGAGTCAGAGCAACCACTGGCATGCGTGTGATCTATGGCTGGGAACAGGCCCAGTTGGGGAGCTAAGGAGACACCCTAGCTAGGTTGAGGTTCCCACCAAAGGGCGCATGGGCTGGAATGGGGGCTGCGTTCGGATCAGGATACGGTTGTAGTCTCACTTAGCACAAGTGTGGACTGGGACTGGACACAACAAGCTGGGCTAGACTCCAACACTATCTGGTGCTCTGGAGGATCAGGGTAGATGTGGGATGGACTAGGCTAGGTCTCAGCCCCTACCAAGCCATGTGTAAGTTATATGTGGGTATGGACGAGCCGTGGCTGGGCTGAAACATCCAACAGCAAGAACCAGATTGGGTTGAAGGTCAGTCAGGAAAAGCCACTGTTCCTGCTAGGACAGGAGGTGAACTGAGTAGGGCTGGCTCATGAACCCCCAGGCTGAATCAGTTCACATCATCCACTGGAGAATCCTAGCACCAGAATAGAGTGTTGGTCGAGCCAAGATTGGTCGTGGCAAAAACCAGTGCACATTACGGCATGCCAAGGTGAGGTTGCCTGTACTGGATGTGACCGCAGCACCCAACCAGCTCTCATGAGAACCAGGAAGGGAAGGAGCAGAGCTGGCAGGCGGAATAAGTGGGGTTCCCACTGGAGAGCATGAGCTGGGATGGGAGCAGACCAGACTAGGCAGGGCTATAACACCTGTGGGCCTCATGTGGACTAGACCAGGGAAAAGACTGCTTAGTCTGGACTGCACCCATTCCAGCTCATGCTCTCCAGTGGGAGTTGCTGTCCAGCAGGGAAGAACCCCCATATTTCCCCTGCCGGCTCCACCCCCTCCCTTCCTGGTTCTCATGTGTGCTGGTTGGACGCTGCAGTCACATCCAGTACAGGCAACCTCACCTTGGCATTCCATAATGTGCACTGTTTTTTTGTTGTGACCAAACCTGGCCCGACCCATACTCTGTTCTGGTGCTAGGATTCTCCAGTGGGTGATGTGAACTGATTCAGCCTGGTCTGCCCCCGACCCATGCCAAATGCATGCCAGTGGGAAACTTTCCATGGCCTGTTCTGGGCTGTTTCCTAACATGCTTCTTGTGCTTACCTGCAGGGACTGTGTCCTGCCAGAGGAGTTTCCCAGACTCCTCCATCAGAACCTCTCCCAATGCCAGATTTCGCACATACCAGGGGGTTCATGAGCCAGCCCTACTCAGTTCACCCTGCCTAATGTGACCTGTCTCCTGATCCATTATCATGTCAGGTAATAGGATATGTTCCTGCTAGACAAGTCCTGAACCTTAGCTTTTGCATGGACTGGTGTTCGGTAGTCAGCATTGTTCAGTGATTACAAGTTCTTCAAAGGAAAAGTTACTCTGTTGTTGGGAATCTATAGGATTGACTCATATCCCAGAAGCACAGTGGGTTCAACATGGAGCTACATAAGCAGTGATTCAAAGAACCAAAACCCCAGAGCTCATGGCCAGGCAGCCAGCAGGCAGAGCTGGAAGTTTCAGCCCCCAGCACAAGGTCGCATTCCCCAATCCCATCCCCCACCCAATGATGGTGGCGGGTGGGCCCTGTGCCCGCCTGGGCCCCGAGATTCCCCCACTCGGTGTACTCACCCCGAAGGGAGCAGCCCCTGGAGCCCAGGTAGGCCCGGGGACAGTTGACCACATGCACGTGGTGGCTGGAGACAAGGATCTGACCTAGCCTGAGACCCACCAGCAGCCTGGGATAGCAGCTAAGGATAACCCAAAGCTTTGGGACCCTGCACCCATATGGGAGACCCGGAAGAGGATCTGGGCTCTTGGCTTCAGATTGGTGCAGTGCTGGCCATTGTGCTCACTTGGGGAGTGAATCATCAGACGGAAGATTATTTCTGTCTCTCCTCCTCTCTGTATATATCTGACTTTGCAATAAAAATAAATAAATCTTTTTTAAAAATCAAGTTGGTGTTGGGGAGGAGGGTAGTTTTGTGGCATAGCAAATTAGGCTACAGCCTGTAGCTCTGGCATCCCATAGGGGCACCAGTTTGAGTCCTGGCTGCTGTATTTCCAATCCAGCTCCCTGCTAATGCACCTCAGAAAGCAGTGGAAGATGGCTCAAATGCTTAGACCCCTACCATCCTTGTGCGAAACCCAGAAGAAGCTCCTGGCTGTTTGGAGAGTGAACCAGAGAATGGAAGACCTCTCTTTGCTGTATTTCCCTCTCTCTGTAATTCTGCCTTTCAAGTTAGTAAACTTAAAAACAGAGATAGATAGAGAGAGAGAAATCAAGTCTAGAATGGGGTCTATGAGTCTGCCTTTCTTTGTTTTTAACTTAAAGATTTATTTATTTATTTTATGCAAAGTCAGAAATACAGAGAGGAGGAGAAACAGAGAGGATTATCTTCTGTCCGATGATTCATTTCCCAAGCAGCCACAACAGCCGGAGCTGAGCTGATCCAAAGCCAAGAGCCTCTCTGGGTTTCCCACACAGGTGCAGGGTCCCAGTACTTTGGGCTGTCCTCAACTGCTTTCCCAGGTCACAAGGAGGGAGCTGGATTAAAGTATAGCTGCCAGGATTAGACCTGGCATCCATATGGGATCCTGGCATTTTCAAGGCCAAGACTTTTGCCACTAGGCTACTGTGCCAGGCCTGAGTCTGGCTTTGTCTAACTGGCTCCCAAGGATGGCACTTTTGCAGGTCCATGGCACCATACTGTGGGCAGCAAGGTCCACAACCCAAGAGGATGGCCGTTTGTGCACACTATGGCTGGAGTCAGGGATCTGAGCATGCACCGCGTGCACGTGTAAGTTCTTAGGATCTTGCCATGCCAGTTGGAAATAGGATGGAGTTCCCGAGGCCTGGCTTCAGCCTGGCCCAGACCTAGCTGTTGTGACCATTTGAGGAGGGAACTGACAGATGGAAGATCTCTGTGTCTCTCTCTGTCACTCTACCTTTCAAATAAGTAAATAACAAATCTTTAAAGATAAAAGGAGTCAACCAAGGCCCCACTTCGCATGGGGATGGACGTTCAGTAAGCCACTATTCCTGCCCCACACAATGTGGTCCCAAGCCTGGTAGAATCCCAACAAGGGTCCGCCATGGGCCCTGGGACCCTCTCTCTGTGCAGCTGGTGGAACCCACTACTCAGTTCAGATGCCAGCCCTGGGGCGGTTTATCCATGGAAGAAGGGGCAGAGCCATCCACCTGAATGTAAAATCTGTCTCACTCTCTCTCTCTTTTTTCTTTTTTTCTTTTTTTTTTTTTTTTAAGATTTATTTACTTTTATTAGAAAGACAGGTCAAATTGATGGAGAAGAGAGACAGAGAGAGAGAAAGATTTTCTCTCTACTGATTCATTCCTAAATGGCTACAACAGGTGGAGCTGAGCTGATTTAAAGCCAGGAACCAGGAATTTCTTCTGGGTTTCCCACGCAGGTGCAGGGTCCAAAAGCTTTGGGCCATCCTCTAGAACATGAACCAGTACCCATATAGGATCTCAGCACTTGCAAGGTGAGGATTTAAGTACTGAGCCATTGTTATGGCCCAAAGCCTGTGCTCTTAAGAGTGACTTGCTGGGCCCGGCGCGGTGGTGCAATGGTTAAGGTCCTCGCTTTGCACCCCCGGGATCCCATATGGGCGCCGGTTCTAATCCCGGCAGCCCCACTTCCCATCCAGCTCCCTGCTTGTGGCCCGGGAAAGCAGTCGAGGATGGCCCAAAAGCTTTGGGACCCTGCACCCGCGTGGGAGACCCAGAAGAGGCTCCTGGCTTCGGATCAGCATAGCACCAGGCTGTTGCGCTCACTTGGGGAGTGAGTCATCGGACGGAAGACCTTCCTCTCTGTTTCTCCTCCTCTCTGTATATCTGACTTTCCAATAAAAATAAATCTTTAAAAAAAAAAAAAAGAGTGACTTGCTAGCTCACTGGAGTGCTACACATGTTTGCCCTTGTACTTGGTGCTGTGAACCAGGACACAGGCTCAGTGGGGTTTGTGTGCTGCTGGGGCTGTGAAACACGGCAATAACGGGACCACACCCTAGCTGCCCCAAGAGGATTGGGGGTCTGCCACAAGATCCCCAGTACTCCACATATCCCCTGCCCTGCCTCTCTCTAAGTGTGGGCTCCCTTCTGGACCCTCTTACCACAGCTGGTCTCCAAGTGTGTCCCAATGCTGGGGTCTCTGAGGTTAGCTCTCCAGTCTCTGGAGTCTTCAGAGGGAGCCATGTGATGGGACGGCAGCAGCGTCGCTCTGGCAGCAAGGAAAGCACTCTTGCCTGCCTCTTGCAGGATGTGGCTCTCCCACCCTGGAACTGGGCCTTTTATTATATTTACCGGAACCAGATCCGGATCTGCTGAGTTCCACCAAAGAGCCACGGGAACTGGCCTGGGGCGGCAAGGGATTGCTTTGATCAACTTGGTTATGTCAACAGGATTATTGTTGAGTAGCTGGAAGGGCCGCCTCCTACTAAACAGAAACGGTTTCTTCCAACGTCAGTGCTTCCTGGCTTGGGTTACATGGGTAGGTTTTTGGAACCTTCTTCTCATGCACCCCTCAGTTTCCCAAATCTCAGTCTCTATCGGGCCACGTCTGCAGCTTCTGTGCTTGCCTCCTATCTGAAAACTGGGTGAATGCTGCTTGCCCAACATGTCCCTTAAGCCAGCTGACTTCATTAGAAAAGGAAAGAGCTTTGCAGGGAAACTTGGCATGGTAGAAACAATGTTGCTCCCAGAAAGAGGTATAACTATGCACAGTAGGCAGAGTCGTGATCCCCCCAACATGTACACCCCCATAAACCTCAGAGCCTGTGCACCTGGGCAGGGGTCACAAAGGACTGTGCAGATGAAGCTACAGAAAGAGACTTTGAGCTGAAGGGATTACCCTGGTCATGTGGGGAAGCTGAGTGTCAGCACCTGAGTCCTTCAGTCAGTAAACCTTTCCTGGTTGGATTAGCCAGGGAAGAAGGCAGGAGCAAGAGGACTCAGCGCTTGGGCTCAGCCTCTCCAATGATACCTTCAAAACAGATCCCTTCTGACAGCAGAAATGCAGCTCCCTCCCATACCCACTAGGGTACCAGATAGGTGCCCCCAGCCCATTTCAACTCAGACCCTCTGCACGTGGATGCCCCAGGCTGCAGGCTCAGTCTTCCATCACTGTCCCCACTACATGTGGCACCCACAAGTTGGAAGTGCACGCAGCTCCCACAGCCCCTCCTCAGATCTGACCCCTCACTGCAGGGACACACAGAACTTGGGGAAGAGTTCTCTGCTTTGCTGGCTGATTTTGTATACAGGCACCACCAGGAACACAAGTGCAGTCGCATGTGGAGCAAGGTGCTGGGGGTAGGGAACCTGTTTCATCCATGGGTCATTCAAAACCATCAACTTAAAAATTAGCCCAGGGGAGCCTAGTACAGTAGCCTACCAGTAAAGTCCTCTCCAAAAAAAAAAAAAAAAAAAAGAATAAAGTAAATAAATAAATAAATAAAGTCCTCTTCTTGCACACGCTGGGATCCCACACAACTTGCACACAACTGGTTCCTGTTCTGGCGGCCCCACTTCCCATCCAGCTGCCTGTTTGTGGCCTGAGAAAGCAGTCGAGGACGGCCCAAAGCCTTGGGACCCTGTACTCGCATGGGAGACCCGGAAAGAAGTTCCTGGCTCTTGGCTTTGGATCGGCTTAGCTCTGGCTGTTGTAGCCACTTGGGGAGTGAATCATCGGATGGAAGATCTCCCCTCTCTGTCTCTCCTCCTCTCTGTATATCTAACTTTGCAATAAAAAGAAGTAAATTGTAAAAGAAAAAATAGCCCAGGGGTCCAGTGTGATAGCTCAATAGCTAAATCATCCATCTTTAGCCTGCTATGGAGTCACAGACTTTTGGCCAGATCAAATGATCTTACAGCCTCCTACAGCCTTTGGGCTGGACAGGGCTTTGTGGCTGGCCTACAGAGAGGGCAGTGGCAGCTCTGTGCTTCTCCAGGGGCCTTTATGATTCAACTACCCCAACTTCTGTTCCCTGGGAGCTTTGTGGAGACTTCAGTGTGTAAGCATCATTGCAACCTGGACAACCAGAGGGAATGTGACTGGACAGAAAGTCTGCTTCTCTCCTAAGGGACTGCCCCGTTTGCCGACTGAAGGACTCATGTCCTGGACATTCCTTTCCCCTGGGTAGGGGCACGATGGACCCCTGCTGAAGTGGGCATCCTGTCATCTACCAGCAGAGAATTTCCTGATGGCTAGCTCCGAGTCAGAAAGGTGGAGGGTGGTAGGCGTGCATGTTTAGTTTCTATGATCCGCTTTGGAAAAGACAAACTGTAGTGCCTGTGGCCCACTGAAGGTGAAAAAGAAGCATGTGGAAGAATGCAAAGACGTTGCAAGTCCTAAAGCCCCCAACATAGCAAAAGACTCTTTCTCATTCATCATTCCAAAGCTGCTGTCAGAACCAAAGACAAATGGCTGAATACCGGGACAGGTACTTGGCATAGCAGTTAAGTCACTGCCCTGGATGCCCACAACTAGGAGTGTCTAGTTCAGTTCCAGTCCCTGTACTAATCCTGGTTCCTGCTCATGAGTACCTTGGGATGCAGAAGATGATGGGCACCTGCCACCCACAGGAGAGACCTGGATGCAGTTCAGACCTCCTAGGTTTGGCTTAGTCTAGCCTCAACTGGGGATAAGCCAGCAGGTGGAAAATCTGTCTAGCTTACTCTTCTCTCTGCCTTCCAAATAGAATGAAAATAAATAAGAAGACCAAATATTTTAACCATAGAGCCACAAACTGTGCATGAAAACAACAACAAAAAAAATTTCATGACATCAAAGATATGAAGGCAAGAAATGTAGGCTTCCTCCAGAAACTAAGAAAGGAGGGGAGCAAACGGGGCCCGCAGCAGTGTGGTGGCACAGGGAGTGAGGTACTGCCTATGCCTATGACATGGCATCCCATATGAATGCCTGTTTGAGCCTCAGCTACTCTGCTTCCAATCCAGTTCCCTACGAATGCATAAGTAGGAAAGCAGAAGAGGGTTGTCCAAATATTTAGGCCTCTGTTGGTGGAGTCTCTGCCTCCTTGTTCCTGCCTGACCCGATTCTTCCTCTCAATATCCTTCTGCTTTTCAAATAATAAATACATTTTTTTAAAAAATAGGAGGCCAGTGTGGTGGTTCAACAGCTTAACAACAGGAGCTTAACAACCTCCACCTGCAAGTGCCAGGATGGCATATGGATACTGCTCCACTTCCCATCCAGCTCCCTGCTTACAACCTGGTTAAGTAGTGGAGGACAGCTGAAGTCTTTTTTTTTTTTTTAAATAATCTTAGTTTATTAGGGTACAAAGGGTCACGGGCTACAGGGTGAAAGTGGGTAATATCATTGTTTCCACATTAATATAATCATTTTGCCCTGTATCTAGGGTTAGGGGAGTAACAAAGGGGAAAGCCCCACCCTACCTCCCACCCATCCCCGATCCCCAGCATGAGGCGCGCTCCAAGGGTCCTGCTCATAGAGTTTTGATAGTTCATCAGTGCTGGATTGCTGCCAATCTCTCCGTCCCAACCGTAATGAAACCTATTCAGAGTCCACTGGCTGACAGTCTCTTGATGGTTGGGGTTCCAAGATCAGCAGTTCAGTTCGAGAAATATCCAAAGAAACTTCATCTGAGTTGATCCCAGATCCGATTCTTGAGTGAGTTTGCTAGTACAGACTCCAACACTGTTCGTCACACCAATCAGCTTATGCATATGCTGGTCGTTGCGATTGCTGGGTCCGTTCGGCTTCCAGCCCTGTCTTCCTTGTGAACCAATGGGTGTTGTAGTCCAGCTCGATTCTACCCACTTCATACTCGGTCTTTACGCAAACCAGTTGGAGCTGCAGCCTAGTTGGGGCGACTCCCCAAAACCCCTACCAGTTCTGCCCCCTACCCTGGTTCCCATGCTTGCCAGTATGCACTGCAGGCTTGTCCAGTCTGTACCACATCCCAATTAGCTCTCGCACACGTCAATGGACATTGAAGCCTAGTTCAACCCAACCAACCTATTATCCAGCCCATACACCTACTGGCAGGTGCCTTTCTGTCAAGCCACCCCTGCTCCTAGCCTGGGTTTCGTGCTGTCCAGTGAGGGTGGTAACCCTGAGGGAGGTGCCCACTATTTCCCTACTAGGCCACACCCACTCCCAGAGTATGCAGTCTCCAGGTGGTTTTGGCATTTGACTTGACAGAATTAGCTCCTAGTACCAGCCTCTGACAGCTAACACTGTGGCTAAGCCCAAACACCCCTCAACCCACTCTAATTTTAACTTGCACCAGTCAGAACAGTCAGCTCACCGTGAGGCCCACAGGTGCTATAGCCCTGCCTAGTCTGAACTGCCCCCATCCATATTCACACTTTCCAATGGAAGTAGTTATCCAGCAGGGGTGCCCACGTTCCCCTGTTGGCTTTGCCTCCTCCCTGATTGTCACATGTGCTGTTTGTGTGCTGCAGCCACATCTGGTATGGCTCATCTCACCTTGGCATTACTTGTTGTGTACTGGTATGTGTTGCAACCGAACCCGGCTCGACCCACACTCTGTTCTGGTGCTCGGATTCACTAGAAGGTAATGTGAACAGATTCAGGCTGGTCTGCCCCCAACCCATGCCATGTGTATGCCAGTGGGATAATTTTCATTGCCTGTTCTGGGTTGTTCCCTATTGTGCTTCTTGCGCTTACCTGCATGGGACTGTGTCCTGCCAGAGAAGTTGCCCAGGCTTCTCCACCAGAACCTCTCCCACTGCCAGTTTTTGGCGCATACCAGTGGGTCCATGAGCCAGCACTACTCAGTTCGCCTGCTATCCTAGGAGGAACAGTGGCTTTTCCTGCCTGGCCTCCGACCCAAGCTGGTTCTTGTTGTTGGATATTTCAACCCAGCCATGGCTCTTCCATACCCCTACCCAGCTCACACATGGTTCAGTAAGGGCTGAGACCTAACCTAGTCTGTCACACAACCCTCCCCGGTCCTCCAGAGCACCAGATGGTGTTGGAATTTGGCCTGGCTTGGTGGTTCCCATCCCAGTCCACAATTGTGCCAAGTGAGATTATGATTGTATCCTGATCAGAATGTAGCCTCAGTTCCAGCCCATGCGCTCCTTGGTGGGAAACTCAACCCAGCTAGGGTGTCCTGTTATTTCCCCAACCGGGCCTCTGCCCTGCCATAGAGCAGGTGTAGGCCGGTGGTTGGTCTGTCTCCGCT